AGTATCGTAACGAAGGAGAGCCGCAAATTATCTCGCAAACAGCGGCTTTCGCAGCTGCTCCTCCGTCAATCACCAAGATTGTCTTGACCCATTCCTTTTCACGAGAAACTCCCATCCACTGCATCCTCAGCACTCAATAGTAGTAGAATTTAGCACTTCTACGATTTCGTGTTGATCATCCCGCTCTACAAGTGTCAGCTGCTTGCGCGGAAAGCTCCGCGAATATTTTAGGGAGCTGGAGAACTTCTTTAAGAAGCCAATGGAGATAGTTCTGGAACAGCCGTATCTTTAAGGTAAAATTGATAGAGTACGAAAGACCATTGAGGCTTGGGAGAATTGCAAATGAGTTCCAGCCACCTGACTTGAGCGTCATCGTTTGGATACCTTTCAGTGTGCCTCGTAAAGTATGCCGATCCACCAAGGCCACATCGCCAAGCTAGGCAAACAGCCGACCTCTACACAAAATAATTACGTTTTCCTTTTCTTGGAGCTTTGGATATGCTTCTACGCGTGCAGGCCAGAGGTGCCCTGAGCCCCTCTGCAGCCAAGGGCTGTTGCAATCCCACAGACCCAGGTCGGAGAGGAGTTCCGGTATGCAGACTAGGCATACTAGAAAACGGCGGGCAGACGAGCTTACCCGTCGTATCCTAGACCCGACCAGCACAAGGAAGATAATAACGCCCGACATTTATGATTTTTGTGAGCATAGAGCAACAAATATTGCGGAGAACCGCGATTGGTCCGCTCTGTCTGTCTGCTTCGGGATGGTTCTCATTTGTCATTATTTTGGTCAATGTGTGGACGAGTCCAAAAATGCTCCATAAACCACCAACGAGTTTTTGATCCCTATTGGTAAGGTTGCTCGTGGGGAATCCGGAAAGCGTCCAGACATGAGCTAAGAATAAATGAACGACTTTCTTTGTCATGACAGACCTGGATCAATGGGTGAATGGGCACGTTTGCTTGGTCTGTCAATAGCACCTTTACAATGTCCTCACCCTTGACGTCAATCAGTCCAACAGTAGAGGCCACAGCTTTTCAGTTGCTGGAAGGCTTTGGGCAAGGCCAGGATTACGATCATTGCTCGGCTTCAGTTGTTGTTGTTGGCTATCCGGGTGAGGTGCACACTACTCCGCCCACGGGGGCATCCCAAGGCATCGAAAGGATCGTAAAAGCCTCTGATTGCATTCCCACCAGCGCGTAAAAGAGCACGATCAAGTGAATTGCAAATTGCACAAAGCGGCAATGCAGAGCACAGTGCAGTTCATCCTCAGCGTGGGATTGCCTCATCTTTTGGGGTGTTCTGTATGTGGCAATAATAACGAATGCAAAGGTATCACACAAATTTTCAAGAACAGAAGCTCCTTACGGGCAGGAGTGGCTCTGTTGCTCAATAGTGAGCCTCTATGGAGTGGCTAGGGCGCGTCGGCCATAACTTAGGCGATGGCCAAAGCTACTTCACATAAATTCGTGCTGCCGAAAGTGCCCAATCGAACGAACAACTTAGGGGTTATGAAGACCTCAAAACTCTTCTCAAGGTACATCAAATACTAATGTTTGTTCGGGGCAGTAAGATGCCCCGGATTAAACATGCCAGCACTTTTTCTACCAATCCACACCACATAGAGTTCCCTTTTCCGCACTGGATAACGGTACTTGATTCCGGTGAAATGGGAAAGAAATAGAATTTGAGGCTTTGAAAACCAGCATCCTGTTGGTCACTCACTGCTACGTCACTAGCATCCTGTTCAGGAAAATTGACCCTCATAAGGAGGCAGCGCGAGAACGAAAGGGTTCAAAGGGGGCGCATGCGCATCCTTGCTGCAGCACCCGCACCGTCTATCCAGCTCTCAGAGTGCTCTTTTGCAGGTGATGGAGTACTTGAGCCTAACCGCTTAGTCGCCCCCATCCTGCAGCCACCTGAAATGACATTCTGGGGAAACCCTAGATGAACTGAGTGAAGCAAGAGGTGTGTGTCCTTTGCCAGCGCAACTTTCATTTTTTCCGGACGTACCTGTTTATTGATTGCTTTCCATGTTCTATCATTCTCTTTTTTCGAATGATTGCTTTCGAGCTGATCTCGTCATCAAAGCCAATGGTATAGTGCTTTGAAAGACCGAACAATAGTTTTCCTTCCGTGTAGATGAGGTCCTTTGTACGAACAAAGCCACTACTAAAACTTCCCCCACCTTCAATAAGCATGCGATCGACCGCATTTATTTCCCTTCGTCCAAGTGTTACAAAGCAAGGTACATCTCCAGCCAGCTGATGAAAAACTCGAGGATTTGCCCTACGCTACGTCATAATCTTTTTCTCATTGGCAAAAACCCATTGATACATCCATGAAACAGTTCGTGAATTACTTATTGTACTTCTCTATAGCTGTGGGGCTGTTGCATTTACACTGGCTTGCAAGCCGGTATCTGCGCCCTCAACAAGCACTGTGCAAAGGTCAGCTTCCATCGCCAGGGGGTCTCATCAACCGATCATTCCCGAGAAAGGTCGAGATATCCGCTTAAAAGTTGGTTCAATCAATGCTAGACAACAGTTCTAAATGCGAACATTCCACTGCACCTGCAAACGGTGGATGAGCAAGAAAAGGCTGCCTCGAACCACTGAATGATACAGAATGTAACGGTCTACCTAGAATTTTCATTGCAGACACTTAGGCCCATAGTTGATGCACGGCCTTACACAAAGTTATTAGGTGACCTTTTAAGACAGCCTTTTCCTCATGATTCCGAAGCGAGGGGAGAAGTACAACTAAGGTGCGAGTTAATGCTCCTATGCTCTCCGAGCACTTACAGCCAGCTCCATAGAGCACCTAGCGTATTAGCACCTACCATTAATTTTCATCATGCTGATCTAACGCTTGTTGAAGCGCGTGTAGACAAAGACCCAGACATGTAGTTGATTCTTTACAGAATCTTGAACAATTATGACAAGTCTGATTCGAAGTGCTAAGCGGCACCTTGGCTCGCTCCAGGGGACGTAAGCAGGTGCAATGCCTGGAAAGTCCGAACATTTTCATGCGCATTAGATGTGTGCACGGGCCAACAGCACAGATGATTGCCCCTAGCTCCACCGCGGTGAAGCTAAGAACAGGTGAATAAGGCAGTTGTCGATTCGCAACTACAGCAAAACACAAGCAGGACTAGCGATACGTGTGAAGGACTATATCGTATTGAGCACTGCAACGTAGTAGCGTTTTAGAGCGTGTGAATCAGCCCTGATCCACAATAAATGAATTTGCGAGCAGCTAAACCACATGTTTTAATCTTCGTGGTGGCATATTTGAGTGTATGCTAGTTGAATTGTGGCCGTTGCAATGTAGTATGGCCCGTGTCGAGGGGGTTGCAGTCCTGTTATTTGTTCAAAGTGAAGCCAGGGGCCTGAACTCACCGTACAGTAACATAACTGTATTTATCGCTGGAGCTTATTTCAGCAAGCTTTGCGTGCCCCCAGTTAGCACCTTGGTCTGGTGGCATGCAAAAGACCCCATGAATATAAGAGAGAATCTCTACTTGAGAGTCCAGGAAATCCCTCAGCTTGTTCCCTCTAACGGTTGAGGAGAGGAGGAATGCCATGGAAGTGGAAGGCTCTCTTCTTCGTGCAGCTTGGGAAATTCATTTATAGATTGCGCCCGAAGTAGTCGAGGTGAACCTACGCTCTATACGGGTGGTGCAGATACAGCCGCGCCATGTGCGTACTGCAGGGCTTCTGAGTTTTAACTGGGGCAGCCTGAGTCAGCGTTCACAAGAAGACTTAATCGTCCGGTGCCCGCGGGTGTGCAGTGCCACAACCTGCACCGAAGGCGGTCGTTGTGGTGACTCCCTACGTATGCCCCCTGCATCTAGCATCAGCAACACACTCTGCAGCAGAAAGGGGCTTTTTAGGCGTAGACGGGCATCCAAAGTGTTATGAACGACACAAGCTTTCAGATAACTAGTCTAATACATAAAACTGCAAGAATGCTTCCTCTCTTTAGCCACAGGCTCGCTTGGAAGTGGGTGAGATAGCATCGGTCGCCAGCTGAACCGTATCCCCTTGATTCAAAAAGCTCAGGAGTTACGCCTCTGAGCTATAAAACCACTCTACCTAAAGCATGCAATCGACCTAGCTGCGCCAAGGAGTAGGATTTCTCTAGAGTCTCTCGAGTAGGCACTCGCAGGGAGGTTGCAGAGGGGGTTGCAGAGAACATCTGCCTACTGTCAATTCCGCTCAGGATAGACTACTCGTAATGCGTGGTTACTCTGGCAAAACTGTTGCTCTTTGCGCCGATTGTTCTTGCCGTGAGTGTGCCAGTCTTCATGCTGCCAGTGTATCGCGCTGTGGTGCTCAACAGCCCTTAGCTGGGCCGGCGGCATGCAAAAAAAGAAATTTCGAGTATTTACGGACAACGGTGTGCAAAGAAGCACTGCGTCCAGCAGAAGCAGAGCCATCGATATTGGATAACTGCACTTTGGGGGACACAAGGAGCACGAGTGCATGCACATGCATGCAGTAGCGATTGGTGTAGGATCGTTACCATTACTTCCCTGTGCCCTCCTTGCTAAGGCTTTGACTGCTGCCGCCATGCCTCGAATGCAGGGACCCTCTGAGGGCCCCCCGGGGGCCCCTCTGATGTGGTTTCCAGGGTTTTGCGACCATCACAGAGGCCCTCCGCAGAAAATCCTGCAGTCCCTGTCGACTGACATGGACTTGTGCTTCTGCAGCATCATGCACACGGACCACCGTTAACAATTCCAGATGCAGCAAGGCAAACGAGAAACCAACGTGCGAGCCAACGAAGAAGCAGGATGACTAGAAGCATTAGCAGCAGTAGGCATAAGCGAAAAGACTTGCAAAAGTCCAAAGAGGGGCAGCACAGGACACACGCACTGAGTCATCGCTGGGTTCTTCCCCAGGAGCCTCTTTAGGTGGAGCTTTTAAAAGCTCACTCACCCTTTAGGGACTGCTCAATATCAGCGAGGGTGACAGCCTCCATCGCTAAAAGCCGCTCAAACACGCTCAGGCGGTCGTTGCTGCGCATCAGTGCTGCGCGGATCTGTGGCGCTGTTGCCGTGCATCGCTGCCTCCCTGACTGCTGCTGGGAAGCCGTCGGAGAGGTACACTGTGGCGTGGGTGTAGTTGGCCTTTTCTTCTCCACCTGCGTGAGCGGCGGCTCTGAATGTCTCGTCCCCCCACACGCAGGGAAGGGAGGAATAGTGCAGGTAGCAGCAGGGACTGCAACAGCACGCAACTGTGGTTCCGATGTGCCGGCGCATGCAGCACGCTGCTTCTTCTGCCGCCTCTGCACTTGCGCTTCCGATAAGGGTCCAGCGGCCCCAGCAGCGCCTGGCGCTGGCGCCGGTGCGGCGTGCTGCTGCGTTTGTCGCACCCTCGAAAAGGTAGCAGAGCTGTGCCTTCGGGGAGTCTTGCCGAGTCCGTCAACCTCGCGCGGCAGGATCGGGTTGGCTGCAACAGCAGGGGCAAGCCCCTTGGGGACTGTATCCGGCGTTCCGCTTACGAGATAGCGGCAAATCTGCTGCAGAATAGAAACGGTCTGCTGGTGAGAGAGGCCTCCCGCCTTTACACCGAAAAAGGACAGCCAACGGCGAAGACACCCCGACTCCATCTTCCCCCAGTCCACACGCAGGAGCAAGCAGGTGCCAGTGCCTCCCCCTGCCGTCGCTGCTGCACTCCCTGATGGACGCTGTTCTCCGAGGGAAGCTCGCAGTCCATCGTGCGCTGCTGCTGCTGCGGCTGATTCTGTGGCGAGGCCTGATACCGCTTCATCACGCCCACGCACTGGAGATGCCGTGGCTGCATCCTCCTCACCTGAGGGTGTCACCCCCACGCGAGCGGCAGCAAAGTGAGTCGCCACATCCCCTGCAGGCACTGTGCGTTCCGAAGCCATGTTCTTTGCTGCAGCAGCAAGTTTGTCGGGGGGCAATACGAGACCGCAAGCCGATTCGCGCTCGCTTGCACACCTCCCGCTACGGGAATCGTCATCACTAGACACATCCACCAAATCAACTGCGACTTCCGTGGTCTTCCTTGTAGAGCTGCGGCCAGATTGCCCAATCTCGGAGCTACTGCTACTGCTGCTGCTGTTGCTACTGCTGCTGCTACTGCTGCTGCTGTTGCTGTTGCTGCTGCTGTTGCTGCTGCTGGCCACTGTCCCCTGCGCCGAAGCATAGACGCAGCCATCGCCGTGCTCCCCAAACGAATTCTCTCCGGAATTCCTTGGAGTGACTGCATAGCTAGCGGGCGATGGAGGGCAGCTACCTGGGGAATAGGCGTAGTTTCCTGGGCTGTAGACAAACCCCCGTGGCGATAAGCTATCCATAAAGACTTCTGAATCCGCGTCCTGCTGATTCTCCCCCTGCTTTTCTTCCTGTTCAGCCTGCTTCTCTGTGCCCTCGCATTGTTCGCCTGCTTGCAGATGCTCCTCGTCTTCAGCCTCTCGGAGCTGGTGCTGCTGGTGGAGGGGGGGGTTCTGCTGCTCTTGCTCCTGCTGCTGCTGCTCCTGCTGCTGCCAACGCGCTTCCAGCAAACCTACGCCTTTCGGATCGTGCCCAACGTGTTGTTGCGAGTCCGATGTCTCCTCCGGCAGTTGCTGCTGATGCTCGGCATGCCGCTGCAGTCCGTGGTCGCACTCCTCTTGCTGCTGCCCCTGCCGCTCCTCTGCCCCTTCCAGTTGCGCCTGTGTGTGCTGCTGGAGCAGCTTTTTTGTATGCTGACGCAGCGGGTGTTGCACCGGAGTGCAAGCCTGCTGCTGCGTCGTTTCCTTGTGAGGCTCTGCATTGTACAGTTCTCCCTTCTCCTGCAGCCGTTCTCGTTGCTTCTGCCCCCTCCGGCTGCACGCTTCGGATGGACAGCGGCAGCTGATCCCCTGCTCGGCGCAGCGGAGGGCAGCAGAAAGAAAGGAATCTAGGAAGGAGAGACCCTCAGATACTGTTTGCAGCCTTCGTTGTTGCTGCAGCAGCAGTGGCTGCTGTTGCCGGTGCAGTCCTTGCTCCGTCTGCTGCAGCTGCTGCAAGTGCACTCTGTTTCGGACGCGCTGTCTCCGCAGCCTGCTGAGAGCTTCTCTGATTTGGTGTGGCTTCTGCTGCTGCACAAATAGCAGCTGCTTCAAAGGGTCCGAGAAGAGCGAGGTGAAGGCACGAGACAAGAGCAACGACCAGCTGCCAACGCAGTCCGTTTCGCCTGCGGCGATCCAGGCTGCCTTGGCTGCAGACGCCGCTTCTGCTTCTATCGCTTCCTCAGCTGCCGCTATTGCTGCTGCTGTCGCGGGTGCTGAGATGTGCGGAGGTGTTGTACTACTCACAAAGTTGCTGCTGCAGCTACCGGAGAAGTCCGTCAGGGGGGGAGGCGCTGCTGAAAACGAAGGCGTTGCTGCTGGAGCCTCTGCTGTTGGAGCCGTTGCTGCGGGTTGTGCCTCTGCTGAAGGAACAATCGCAGCGGACGCTGCAAACGCTGCTGCATCAGGATCGCTCCTCTCCTGCCCCGGTGCTGCCAGATTTGCCCCTTCCGCATTTGCAGCCGGAGGTAGGCGTGCTGAGGTAGTAGTTGAGGCTCTAGCCGCTGTAGACGCTGAAGTTTCTGCGTTTGGGCTGTCTTGCGGCGATGTAGAGTGCTCATTTGCTGCAGCTGGTGGGGATGTTGCTTCACTAAAGGGCGCCGTCTCCGCACGGAGCGCTCTTACGGCAGCTTTCGAAGAGGCGCTCCAAGACGCCGTCGAATCCTTTACCCTCCGCAACGGCCTCTGAGGGGTAGCCACCTGACCAGCTGCAGCAGCAGCAGCGGCAGCTGTTGCTGTGGCTGCTGCTGCTGCTTCGCTCTCCCTTCCTGCTGTCCCTTTGCTTGCCGCGTCTGAAGCAGCAGCCGCCTTGGCAGCAGCCGGTTGCCCCCCCTCCGTAGCGGGTGCAGGTGCAGCCGCGACAGCTTCTGCTGCAGTCGAGGACTGCAAGCGCAGGAGATACCAAGACGATGAGGCCGCCTCAACTGCAGCAGGAGCAGCGGTGGATGCCGCTACAGCAGGAGTTTCGTCTGCAGCGGCCCCTCCTTGCGCGGCGCTTGGAGCTGAGAGCAACGAGGAGCAACAAGACTTCGCAAAAGCCCACAAAGAAAAGCCTGACCGGTGCTGCGTTTGCCGTGGTGACACTTCCTCCAAGTGTGCTTCGGCTTTTGGTGCTGCAGAAGGCGCCTTTTCTACGGCTTGTTTCCCCTGTGTAGGAGATGTGGCTGCAATCGGAGATGCAGCTGCCACTGCTGTGGCCACTCCCGCCACTGGTAAAGGTGTTTCCAGGATCACTGCGGGGGGGATACCGCCTACAGCTCGAGCGCGGTCGCTTCCTGCCGCTGTTGCTTCGGCAGCTTCTCGCGCATGTTTCTCATCTACAGCCGATGCTGCAGAAGCCGAAAAAGCTTCAGCTGCGCCTTTGGCTGTTGTCGCTGCTAGGGCGGCAGTTGCCGCTGCCGCTGCGGCCGCTCCCGCTGTCGGGGAGTTCCCCTCCAAATCCGCAAGCAGTGTCATGATCTGCAGCTGCTGCTGAAACTGCTGCTGCTGCTGCTGGAACTGCTGCTGCTGCAGCTCTTGCTCAGACAACGGGTGGATGGCTGCGGCTGGCGCGCAGTCTTGCTGTGGGGGTGGCTGCTCCTGCTGCAGCCGCTGCCCCTCCTCACACCACTGCCGTTTGCCAGCGCGTTGCTGTTGCGACGCTCCTTCTTCTTCCTGCTCTTGATGCAACTGCTGCACACGCTCAGACACCTGCGGCCTGTGCCGCAACACGGGAAATACCTCCGCGGCAACTGTCGCGCCAGGAGCACTACCTGCAGCAGCAGCTCCTGCTGCAGCTCCTGCTGGAGGCTTCAGGTCCCATAGAGCCGCTAGGAGACACTGCTGCTCCTGCTGCAGCCGCTGCATTTGCTGCTCAACGAATACCAGTCGCTGCCGCACACGCCGAGAGAAATCTGGAAGCTCTGATGGATCCTGCAACAGGAGCACGGGCAGCCAGAGTATCAGCCATGACGGCGCGCTAACGAGGCAACAGCAGCGGCAAAAGAGAGAACGTGTCACGAATTCCCCAGCATTCTATCGCCCCCTACGGTAGCATCTGCTTCTACTGCTGGCGTCACACTTTCCTACCTCCGGCTTGCAAAGTACAAGCGGCAGCAGCGGGGGATTGGGACGTGTTGAGCCATGCCTTCGGTTCTTTGTCGGCAGAGTAGACTCTCCTGCCTCCCCTGCCGACACTGATGCCTGTGCTGCGGCTGCTGCTGCAGTTTCTCGTGTGCTTTCCCTACGTCTCCTGGAACTAGTAATACCATCTCCCACGCCCGCTGCATCTCCTGGTTTTCCAGTGCTGCCAGTTCGACGCCCTCTCCCCCTCTTCCTTCCTGATGCAGCAGGAGGAGCATCAGTTACAGGGGATGCCGTCGTTCGGGGTGCTGCACCCGTATACGCGTCCTCGATGTTGGCAGGTGGATGCAGACGCACAAGAAGGCCTGGCGGAGTCTGCTGTCTCCTCTTCCGTCCAGACTGCTGCTGCTGCTGCTGCTGCTGCTGCTCCGGCTGGTTGGTGCATATGATGGCCTTGATGAGGCACACGTCATCTGCAGGAGCAGTGATGGCAGCGTTGCCTCCTTCAGCTTCTGATGTTGAAGGCGGTTCGCTGGGGTTACCCGTGCGATTCTGCTTCGTTGCTTGAGAAACCCTCTTACGTTGCGCTGCTTCTCCTATTGCGGCTGCAGCTTTTCTGGAGGCTGCTCTGGCACCCTGCCGACGAGCACATGAGATGCTGCTGTTGGTGTTGCTGCTTGGCCGCCTCAGAATAACACTGGCGTCGCCCCTGTTGTCTTTGTCTTTGCTTCTTACTGGCTGCGCTTGTTCCTGCCCACCATTCGGCCCTGTCTCGTGCTTCCGTTCTTCTCTGCCGCAGACAGGTTGCTTGTTCTCCCGCTGCTCGCCTTCCAGTTGTTGTTGCTGCTTGTCTAGAAGGCCTGCGGTATGCCTCTGTAGCTCTCCTACACGAGGCTGGAGCTCCTGCTCTTGCCTGTTGGAAGGCAACGCCTCCTGACTTCTGTGGCCGTGGTGGTGCCGTTGCTGGTCCGCCTCCAACGAATCACGCGATGCTTTGGGCTGTTGGGATTCGTCATGAAGTGTATTGCTAGGATGGGCAGACACTTCGGGTGACTTGGTGGACATCGCGCAGCCAGAGTCAAAGAGGCGAGCCAATTTCCGCTCTCCTTTTTCTTTTTCTCGTGCTTTCGCACTCAGAGCAGCGGCAAACAGCAAATCCTTCCATAACCACCAAGGGTGGGCCAGATACCCTCGGCCGAAGCGCAGAGGTTCTGTGCAAACTCAAGGGGGAAATCGCTCAAGAATTACCGTTTTGGACTGAATCCAATGTGGAGAGGTGTCTCTCGGAGCTTCTCACTCCGTGGAGCGTCCCCGCGGTGGGAAGGCCCCCCCTCCCGCTCATTGGTTGTGTGGTCTCAAGGGGGCCCATGTGCACGATACCGACGAACCATGCATACATCTCCGTCTACATCGTTTGCGCCAACACATGAATTTAAAGTCAAAAAGCAGGATGTTTCTAGTTTACTCTACGGTGATCAGATCGTTGCTTCATCGTTTCACTGGTTACTGACTGCAGCGAAGCCAGCCAGGCCAGGCGTCATTTTCGCATTTGTTACCTCGAGCATAAGATCATGCGGCATCATAGATTGATGCAGCGAGGACACTGCGAAAAGGTAAGAGCCATCAACGGGGAAGCAGAACCACGCCCCTCTGAAAGGTAGGTGCACGGGTTCGTGGTCCCCAGCCCGTGGTTGGACTTTCAACGTACGCACATCTCTACCTTACCATGCTTCATCAACTGTGTTCCCTCGCAGTGCCTCTCTCACTGTGCTGAGGCATGTGAGTCTCTAGACTGACGCAGCACGACAGAGTCCATGATTTTGTGTAGGTGGCTCGGCAGCCCCTGATCCAGCCTTCGGGGGTAATCCAAAGTGAAGCGACTTCTTGTTCTGGGCTTAATGGTACTTCTACGTGGCAAGCTCTGTATACCCTTTTACATTAATGTAGAGCTTCGGTGTTTGCCCTCTCTCTGCTTGACAATCTGCGACTCCTCAACATACATGGGACACACAGCCAACTACTTGTTCTGCCCTCCTGTTAGATCATTGCCTAAAGAACGAGCGAGCTCAGTCATAAACAAGTCCCACACGCACATGGTTTGGGCGCATGAATTTGTTTAAGTCTCGCCAACTGAAATACGATTTAGGAGCAAAGGCTGCGCACCCAGTGCTGTTACCCGTAAAAGTACTACCGTTCTCGGCTGGTTGCGTTTCGCGTCACAGTAGCTCTATTCCAATAGGATAAGAGGCCATCATGTTGGGACGCCGGCGAAGAAACCTCTTGGTTCAACGCAACCTTGGCATTTTCCTCCCTTATTGCGCTGCTTGAATTCCTGCTGCTACATGAACACGTGTAGGTGGTGCTCGATGTTCGTTTGCATATAGAATGGCCACCAAGGCACACTACAATCATCAAAGTGCAGTCGCTCAACCAGCTGGTACATTTTTACCGGGAGGCGCTGCAGCGGAGAAAAAGTGCGTCTGCCGGGAATCGAACCCGGGTCACCTCGATGGCAACGAGGTATTCTACCACTAGACCACAAACGCCTGGCGGCCACTACGGTCCTCTTCCTGTAGTCCTGCATTTTAAGCCCCCAGGGAACAGCAAATTGATGCTTTCTACTTTTTCCACGTGGCACGAGCATATGGAGAAGAGATGGTTTACCGTAAAGGGCGTTTGCCCCAGGAACGTAAGTCCCGCTCCCTGCAGCACCCAGACTCTATCTGCTGAGGTGGACTACCCTAAACAAGGCGCGTCATACCAAGCCCGTTATATTAGTTTAGAATCAGTCAAAAAGTGACGACGTGGTCGGTCTGCTTTGATTCGCTACAAACCAATGTTTGTCCGACGGGATAAGAACGAATGTTGTGTGTGCGTGCACCATATATAATGTACAACAACTTGTGGAAAAGGACACAAACAATGCGGCAAAGTGCGTCAAAGAAGTCTGCTCTTATTTCGGCGCTCTGAGGGGCGAGGGAAGGTTGAGAAACGAACTTGGTGAGAACTACCCTTAACCCCCTTGCAAAATGCAGCTCTCATATTATGTTTGTCCCCAATTAGACCTCAGAACGAACGTCGCACCATCATTTCACACCCATATGCGAGCTAAGTAACAAGCTAAGACGCAAAATGTGCTCACAGAGCGAGCAGGATTCTCTCGAGTGCCCCTCTGGCGAACACATCCTGGCTGTTTATAGAGGTCATGCAGCCCATCGTTGTAAACATGCCTCTCTGAAGGGATATATGAGAGCAAGGTTTCCTAGTCTACAGCTGTATGGGTATTGCAGGGCGATCATATGAGCTCACTTTCCTTTACGGCGTGCAATGCTTGTATGCAGAGGGGCTCCAAAAATATGGAATGTGGTAACTGCAGGTCTAGAAGCGGCAACTGCAGAAATATCATAAAGAAACACTTAGCTCAGAGCTGTCTTTACTGGTGGCAATGGTGGAGAAATAGCCACGCGAGGAAGCGACATACAAAAATGTACCGTTGCCTACGTGCTGGCTGGTCATTACGGCTTTGTTTAGCAAATCGGCTCCTTTGGAGTGTAAAGCCAATGCGCAAATAAATGTGCATGGCGTTAAGATTACCTTATCTCTGATATACGCCAAATCTTGACTTCCCGCCATTTTGGCAGAACACACTGCCGCGCGCCGCTCTCTTAGCAATCTGGTTGCTGCTATGCAGTGTCATTGAGCTGTTTCAGTTTAGCGATGTTTGTAGTGGCAGTGCACATTTTAAGGCTCTTTTTTCGCCTGATATACACCACTATGTGCATGAACTATTATGGCAGAAAGCACCAGCCCAGAACACACGCCCACTGAGATTGAGAGTTACTAGGGTGGAAGCCAGTGTGGTACTAGTGGACATCTCAGAACTGTAATCAGAGATCTACATAATGTTCTTAAGCCTGGCTAGCACTCACCGCCATTTAGGGCTTTGCTCAATACTGATCTTGTTTTGCAGAGTCGCTTGGAAAAAAGTTCAATGCAAGTGGACGCGAAGCCTTTGGGGTCATCGACAACAAGCGGCACAATCGGGGAGAAATTTGAAACTTTATCTTCTTGAACATGTAATGTACTTGAAGTATCAATCAATGCCTTGCATAGTATTTTCTATTTCTTGATGTGCGGATGACCCTGGGATATACGCTGAGCAGATGAACTGATTGGAATGTGTTTGAGCTAGTGAGCTAAGAAAGAAGCATATAAAAGCACTCACAAAAATTGAGGTTTCGAGAAGTCATTCAATGAAAGTCTATAACACGTAAAATCAAGTCCCTGTAAGCCTGCTGAACGTAAAGGTGATCGAAGTTTGATGAAAATTTTCACCTGCTTGCCAAAAGAATTCTTGTCGACATTAGTCCCCTAGTAGCATGGCTGGGCTCGTGTAAGTACAGCCTTGATAGCCCTAGGCTCACAAAAATATGGCACTTAAAATGACTGCATATTCGGATCACCTTACAGGCACACTATATGGTTACGTACTAAACCTAAAAGTTACTTTACTTTCCAACAAATTCCAAATCGTACAGTTGAGGCAGAGAGTCACTTCCAAAAACTGCTCAAATAAGACTCTACTGCGGCACAAAATCCCTCTCTGTAGTTTGGCCTTGTTAGGCTTTTTATATTGCCTTCTCTTGCTTATCTCGGTAAAAATATGGTCTGCGTCAAGCTGTCAAGCAACTTGTTTCCACTGAATCACATAGCATTACTTCTTATGTACCGCTCTCGTGACAAATGGTGAAGAAAACTCTTATAATCGGATGGACTGGGGAGACCTTGACTTCGGCTTGCATTCTAGCGTGCTTTTTCGAAGTCCCCGTGCGGGTCTATCGAGTGCCAAGATGCACACTCTCAAAGAGCACTCTAGGCTGATTTAAGCCTACATCGGAGGAATTTTGCGCTAATTAGTGCCTGGATTCCCTGAGTTGTCAAAAGCGAACGGTTTCCTCTATTGTAGATGACGGATACGAGATAATGAGAGGAAGTGGTCAATACAAACAGACTTTCATTCCACCTTTAAGCGAGATCGTATGTCATTAGAAAGTTTAGACACATAGCAATTATTTAAATGAAATCATTCGCCTCACATGGTCTAAAGAGAACAAAAACTGTTGGGGTCACGCAAATAGCCCCTTACCAGGTGGACTTTCCATGTGCTGGGCAAGCATTAACGATTATTTTCCAGTAGAGCTACAGCTATCCAGATGGCTGGATATGAAATGAAAAATTTGAAGCAACTTAGTCCAAACACTTGAGCAGAAGTTTAGTTGAGATCTCTTTGGGACAACGTAGGGCACCGGCGTTGAGAGAATTTATTCGCCAGCTGAGATCTCAGAGCATCGCCTGGGAAAAGCAACACACTTGCCCTAACAAAAGTGCAAAGGCAATATAATTTCAGAGGAAAATACTTCTTGCAGGTATTTACTACTAGTGTCCTTGGCCAGAGAAGACAGCGAGCAATGAATTAGCGGCTCCATAGGCCACCAGTACTTGAGGGAACACAGCCCGGTATCGCCCTGTGTCTGAAATTAAATTTCGTAGAAACTGCATCGTAAATATCTTCCATAATGTGCATGCATGCAGAAGGCAGGGGCTGCGCCGGGGCCAGGCAACAGCACAGCGAGTCTCGGCAAGGTCAGACAAAGGAGACTGCCTCAGGGCTTTTTGACCTTGCGATCCTTGCTGCCCCCCTTATCATGGAATATGATGCAAATTTTCTCTTCATATTCAACCGTATTTGAACGACTTGACTATGAGAGAGAATAGTTTGTGCTGCTGCCTCTCCGGGTTGCTCGCCCGAAACTGGTCTGGGGGTAAAACGTAAATATTGCTGGGCCTAACAGGAAATCAAATGCTACCTGAATAGTGAGGACCAAAACAGCTGTCCAGTCACTCCATGGATCCGCCATCTTCAACTTTTTGTTGAGAAGGTTTCCTTGTGGAAAACCTCGAGCTGCTCGGAATTTTTCAGGCTGCAACAGGCACTCTCAAAAGAATTGAGCGACACAACACGGCGTTCCATGTTGAAAGCGTTTGGATCCATACGGCAGATACCCCATGTTATTTGTAGTTCGAGGTGGTGACCTTCAAGACAGCAACTGAGCAATGTCTTCCCGGAACTGCTGCCGCGGGGAAGGGAATGGGGGCGCAGTGCACCTCATCCCCGTTGGATCGCTAGCTTGGACTCACAGCACCGAAGAGGGTTTTGAAACTGTGAAGGTCTTGGGTCATGATATGAGTACTGGGTTATCTCGCGTGGAAGTCCACCCTGAAGGCTCTTCCAGTATCGCAGCGTCGCTGGCAGCTGTTGCAGCAGTTTGCGATGCCCAAACACTGGCTGCTACCGGGCAGACTTCATGTAGCCTCGATTCGGGTGTTAAAGAGCAGTCACATGCACAGGTAGAACATGATTCGTCCAAGCTAAGACCCCCTGCTGGAAAACGAAAGACGGGACCGAAGAAGAATAAGAGCAGTGCCTGGGTACTAGAGGCACCAATAGCCGCCACTGAAGCATTCACCGACCCTCTGTCTCCAAGAGGCTCTCAGAGATTCAGAAGCTCATCGGGTGAGTCTGACACCGACTCCGAACATGACCCTTATGATGCATCGGAAGCCGGCACAGAAGCATGTCAGTGTTCAGACTCCTCTTTGCCCGCATCCCCGGAAGGCATCCGTACCTCGGCATCAAATCTAGAGGAAAAAGTAGCAGCAGCAGCAGAAGCAGCAGCTGCTGCGGCTGCCGCAGCTTTCGTTCCCCGGCCGCCTTTCACAGTCCCCTCCACTCACCTCTGGCCTTACAATGCGCCACCCATGCCACCGCACCCAATTCCTGACGACACTGCTAGTTACGGCACTCTTTCGGCTGCTGCTTTGCTCCAGCAGCTTCAACATAGGTACCTCCGGAACGAGATCTACACGTACGCTGCACATGTACTCCTAGCAGTGAACCCCTACAAGCCATTGCCGCACTTGTACTCTACGCAACAGATCCTTCTCTACAGGCATTGGAGGAAACTCGCTCGGGCGTATCGCCGCCAACTCAATGAAGAACAATGCAGCAATGCGAAGGAGGTGCTGTCGCCTTGCAGCCCTGTCAGCTCCGGTGACGCGATATCCATTTTGAACCGTCTGCCAGGCATCTTGCCATTACGCAGTCTCCCTTCTCGTGATGGCCCTCCTAGAGGCTCAGGAAACGCTACCTTACCGAAAAGTGTGACAGAAACTAGTTCAAGGACTGCGAACAACAGCATCGAACTGGGGGCAACCACCGGAATAGGAAAGCCCGAGGCACTTGCAGCTGCTACGGAGCAAGCCTTTAAGGAATGCACGGCACGGCAGAATAGGCCGCCGCCGCATCCATATGTTGTAGCTGAGGAAGCTCTGAGGCGTCTCGTAGGAACACAAATCAGCCAAACCATTGTGGTATCGGGCCAAAGTGGTGCAGGAAAAACAGAGACGAGCAAGCAGCTTATGCTTTTCCTTACGCATGCGTCAACCTCAGCAGACAGCACTTCGGAAGTCTGGAAAGATGGCACCTCCAGCTCGTCAGACGACCCAGAATTAGCCCTTACTCTGTCAGAGAGGCGAAGACAAACAGCAGCGCTTACCGGAGGAGTGCAGACGCTGAGTGAAGCAGCAGAACTGCGTCAGCGTATTGTTTCTTGTAACGCGATCTTTGAGTCATTCGGCAACGCTGCCACCAGAAGAAACCACAACAGCAGCCGAATCGGCCGGCTGACGCTTTTGCATTTTGACAACGGAGGGCTCTTGAGGGGGGGCAGTCTGCGGACGTACTTGCTGGAAGCTGCTCGAATCACTGCACACAAGAGGGGAGACCGGAACTTTCATGTCTTCTACCAGTTGTTGCGAGGTAGGAATAGCATTTTTCGTGTAAAGGCCTTACCTTGATTCGGCAAACATCAAAGTAGTATTGGAAAGTGGTGCATCGTTGAGCAGAGCGGGCGAGGAACTACAAAGTTTGTTTACTGCTACTGCTTCAAGCGGCGGGGCGCATTGCTGCCTCAGGTGCAAGTGAAGAACTGCGCATTTCTATGGGGTTGAACGAAGACACAGATTTCTACAACATGCTGCAGCCACAGGACTCTCATAAGTTTCTGCAGAAAGTATTTCTCAAGGAATCGCATCAGGATGCATGCAAAGCCCCCAGTGGAGAGTCCACGAAAGAGGCGGCCCAAGTTCCAAAGGCGGTGGATCAGGTAAGCTGGCTGCAGGCTTGATATGCTCTATGGACTACTGTGCAGTAGATTTGGCTGGTGGCAGAGCAGTCTGAAGCGCGAGAACACGTCAGTGCGTCTGAGGTGCTCTACCGAATGATGTCCTCTGCCTTTTTTTCGCTTGGTTGCTGGCTCGCTCCACTTTATGCACAGCAAAATTTTGAAGCATTGGTGGAGGCACTCAAACGTGCAGATTTCTCGTCCGGGGAGGTTGATGAGCTCTTGCAACTGCTCGCCGGCCTCCTCCATCTGTCCAACGTGTCATTCACCAAAGGCAATGATGATTCTCTAGAGCTACGTGACACGACCGCGACGGAAGCGCTCACCCATGCAGCGTCCCTTCTTGGGGTGGAGAAAACAGAGCTTGAGGACCTGTTAAAGTTCCGACGTATGATTTTAAAGGGAGACGTTCTTGTCACTTTAAGAAGCCAACAGCAAAGCAGCAGTGCCTGCTGCTCGCTTATTAAATTTGTTTACTGTCGTCTCTTTGATCACATCGTCAATCGCCTCAACGGAAGCACCGCTCGAGAACTGCAGGGAAGGCAGCGGTACACCAATTCGCTTCTCAACAAGGACGACAGTAAAAGTCTCAAGTTCATTGGCAGTAAGGCATGGAAACCTTGCCGTAAATTTCTACTGATGCGAACTCTATAAGAATGCGCAAATTTCGACTTGGAGTAGCCAGTGTCTGTGACTTCCTTGTCGCTAGCATGATTTTAAAAGCGGCTTTATGCTCCGAAATGCTTGAAGCAGCCAGAGTGCTACGCTAAACAGTGCTCATCTTCGTGCGCCACCTAGCTGCTTACTGAGAGTGTTTGTACAAGTGTAAATCCTAACAAAAGCTCCAAACTGCCGGTGCCTGTGGTAGCGGATGGTGCGCTTCAGTTCTTGACATCTACGGATTCGAATGCTTTGGACTCGAGAACGGCCTTGAACAGCTTTGCATCAACTACGCAAATGAGAAACAACAGGAGCTTTTTGTAAAGCGGGTGATTGAAGAGGAGATAGCCCTTTACACAAGAGAAGGCATTAGCAATCCAGCAATCACAGTCGGCCACAGACGTTACCACCACATCCATAAGGACGGGTACCATGAGCAGCAACAACTTGGCCGGCAGGGCAATGCTCATGCCACATTCAAGAAAAACCTTGAGCAAAGCCTTTTTGCTTCTCTTCCAGACACCTCCGTCCTTCTTAGAGATCTACAAGAGGGGGTATTTCGGCGCCTCGACGACTCATGCAGGCTCCTAGCTCAGGGCCAAGCAAGAGACGACATACATTTTTGGAGAGACCTGTTTGCCTACTGCACCTCGTCAAAGCAGCAACTACAGCAGCCGAAAGCCAGCTCTTCGATGCTGCATACTCACCGCGAACAGCAAGCAACATGTGACCAATATCTTCTCTTTTGTCTCAAGGGGCTCCACGGTATGCGTGTTGCAGATGCTGCAGCAAGTGGAAAGCTGTTGCAGCATCTTCAGCACTCCGACCTCTCTTCGATTGGTCTTGTGACAGCTCAACAACTGTCAACTCGTGGAGCTGAGGGTGCAGCAATAGGCAACACTGGGTCAGGCAAGGTACAGGAAAGGGTGTTTGCGGTCAAACATTTCGCGGGGACGGTTCTCTATGGCACGGATGGCTGGTTGGATCTGAACAAAGACAGAGTGAGATATATGCAGATAGGCCAGTGGGCAGTCTCATTTGCTTCCTTCGTTGCCGTAGACTGAAAGTGGTGCTGCGCTGACTTTTGTGCGCCTAGATTGAACACGAACTGGAGCGCCTCGTTGCCAAGTCCCAAAAGTCTTTTTTGCGGGAAGCAATGGAGCAGCACGAAGCAATGCAGCAGCAGGAAGGCGCAGTCTCGCTATCGGTAGGTGGCGGCCAGTTCTCTTCAATTACCAAGCGTTTCGTCAAGAGCGTTAAGGAACTCAGTCAGGAGCTCACTGGACCCCTCATGCAGTTACACTTCATACGATGCTTCATCCCAAACGGCTGCATGAAGCCAAACAGCTTTGAAAGAAAGGTCGTACTGCAGCAGGTAAGAACGCAGCCAAGATGAGGGACAAAGCACACGCAGCAGCCGCGACACGAGCTTTAGATGCAAAACAGTTAGTGTATACGTTTTGGCTGAATCGTTCAGAACACCTGGAGCTCTACATAGCCCGTGGTAATTAGACTGTCGATGCAAGCCATGCTGGCCCTGCTTTCTACGTCGGTGCTTCTTCAACTGCTGCAAAGCTCCTGCTGCTGCCTCTCTTTTCTCGCAGCTCCAACATTCAGGAACTTTGGCTTTGGTGGACATCCTTCATTCCGGCTTTCCTCACCGACTTCCGCTCCACCCTGTGGCTTCTAAGCTCCGCACAGTACTCGTACCACTCTTGAAAAGGCGGCTGCAAGAGCAGGAAGACAAGGTGAAGCAGCTAGCAGCCCAAAAAGAACAGCAGTCTTCTTCAGCCGAAGAATCAGCAAGTTTTGATCAGGAAGTTGCTCGTCAGCGCCGCATCCTCGAGACTTTGAGGCACTGCAATCCAGCAACAACTCGAGACCGCACTCTCGGTAAAAGAACAGGCACTCCTGCGTCCTGAAAAGGTCGATACGCTTGATGAATGCACAGTTTTGCCTGCATCAGCCAACGACAGTCTGATATTTATGTTGCGCTTGCGTGCCTTGCTGCAGTGTCAGCCACGCTTGGACTGCTTTCCAAATGCAGACCAGGATCCTTCATTTGCGGCGTCTCACTCATTTGTTTCAAGGGTGCCGCGTACGGGGAAGCGACTGAGTTTATGGCTGACCCTAGTCAATTTTTCAAGACCCCTGAAGATCTCTGTCGGCTTATCACCGCGATACAGAGGCTGCGCTGGCGTGTAGCCGCCCGTATTGTGCTACAGGTTCACCCCACATTACTTTGGCTACAACGTAGGGCGTGCTTGATGAGAAAAATTAAGATGGCTGCTGTCACTCTAGCCATTAGGATGCTCCTCCTCAAGAAGTTCATTCTTCGTCCTTTGAGGGAGCGTGTGCGCCGGCGCCTCGCCCTTCGTCGTGGTGTACGCACGCTGGAGCACATGTTTCTTCAGCGTGGTTTCAAAGGGTGGCAAAGATACGCATCAGTTTTACGCTCTTTCGAAGGGGCAAAGAAAGCCGCAGCCTCTCCACCAGGTGGTGAGAGAGACGATCTGCAATCCAGTATATCGAATGGACCCACTCTGGACTTATCCAAGGTGCGAAGTAACGCGTCTGGAGGATCAGGGGGAGATGAATATCAAATACACCCGATCATGCAGTACTGGAATACTTGCCTTTTCCCCCTTAAGAGCTCAACGCAACATGAGTTGTGTCGAGAGCACCAGCTGGCTCTACACCCGGGGAGGGACTTGTACTCCATCCACTTTTCGGACCCCCTTGCGCGAGATCTCGAGCAACCCTTTTCAGAACACCATCAAAATCCTGAGCAGCTCCGACCTGAATCCTTGCGTGTTTGCTCATTTGCCGAGCAGAAGCAAACCGCTCAACAACAGACCGACTTGTCGGTGGCTCAGGCACTTGGTGGTGAGAACACCGCACCGCCCACAGCCTGTGGCCCTACCAAAGGAGCACCTCTCGTCACTGTCGCGAAGCATCCCTCTTATGACCTCTTCCTGGCCAGCGATTCAGCCGCTCAGCTGCTTTTGTTTTCTACACCGGGCAGTGCTGAACCGGAGACTGAAGAAGGAGACGCACTAGACGGCGTCCGGCAGGGGCACGTGAGGAATCCTCCGACGACCTTTGGGGAGCCGTCAACATGCTTGCCGTGTCTTGCCTCCCCATCCAACAACCCTTTGCCTCCTTCGTCTTCCACCCCTCCTTCCAGTACTGGCATCCCCTTTCCGAAACGTGCCAACAAGCATCCAAATGTGCTCAATGGCATAAAGAAACTCCCAGCTCTTCCTGAGTGCCTGAGACACTGCGAATCTAACGAGCGCTCATTCCCTACAAGCCTTCTTCCCAAGAAACCTCTCCCGCCCAGCAAGTGGCTCCCACGGGACCTACTAAAACAAGTGTCTGAAAAGCTGCAACAGCCGCAAAGTAGCACCCCGCGTCAACGAGTCCCTACGGTGAGGCCCCTGCGTGTGGCCTTCGCCAGCCCTCTCACGGCGGATTTTGCTATCGTCGTGTGCCTGGTGCAAGGCAACAGCAGGACACAAGCGAGCAGCCGAAACATTGGCAAGCTCATTGTGGTCTTAGTAGATCTAGTTGAAGGTGGCTGCCGAGGTTGGGTTCCCCTGGCCCTTGCGTCTCATGACATCTCGGCCTGCGCTTGCCGGCACGCCGAGTACCTTAAACAGGTTGACGCAGCTGCGCTTTCACTTACCAGCACCCACTGCACAAGCAGCAACAGTACAGCTGATGAAGACCCACCCGCAGTGTCCTCTCAGAGAAGTGCAAGTCGTAGCCGCAGCACAATGCTCTCTACAATTCGGCTGCAGCCACTGTGGGGAAGCATGTGGGCTGTCGTTGGTCCATCGCTGCTCGCAATATTTTCAGTCAATCTCAGGTTCTTCCAGCACCCACCCACCGATCTTCAAGAACAGCACCATGCCAAAGAACTCCCGCTTCGCCTACTTTGGAACATGGCCTCTATTCCAGTAAGTGTATTTTGCCCCGAGGAGTTTTCGCTCACCGCAGTAACGTAGCTGGGCATTCTGCATACCTCTTGTCACGACTTCCCACATAAAAAGCCTAGAGGTTCTTAGTTTTTTGGACGTTATCGATGTCGCAGCACGTAAAAGGTCCGAGCTTTGAAGTAGCTCAAGCGTGGTTTACGGGATGCACATACACGCGGATTGCCCCTTCAAGGCTCAGCTCGATCACCGGCACGCACCCGGTCATACAGGTCCTTCAGATGATGCCGTATGGAACAGTGACGCGTTCCATTGAGGCTAAAATGCAGCGGCTGCTGCTGCTTTCAACAGCCGACAATTCTTTGCTGCTATTGAGGTGGAGCGAGCGAAGCACTGACACCATTAGCGGATTGGGGAATCTTGTGCTTCTGCACCAGCTCCAGCTGCCCTCCTCCGTGTTGCAGTTCCTTCGGCAAGTGCCCGAGGATACAATGGAGTGTGGAGGAGTTTTGAGCGAGCACAAAGATGCTGAGGGGCGCCTCAAGAGATCGTTCCCATGGGATTCGGAAGCCCTGCTGCTGAATGGGCAGGCCGATGAGGCGACACAAAGCTATGCCCGGCAGAGGAACAACGGTTCCCGCATGGATAGTGACGGCAGCACCATTGAAGGAATGAGCGAGTCATGGGAGAGCGACGGATATGTGGCGCAGTCGCAACCACAGGCCAGGGACGGAGTCACCTGCACGGATTCTCCTTCACTGACCCGAGATTTCCAACATTACGGGATAGCTTTGGTGGAAAAAAGCACGGGCCGAATCGTGCGCTCTCTAGACCAGCACACACTGCAGCAACTTCGGGATGGCGTACACTCTAAAAGCCAGATTTTAGCTGTTACTCCCCTTCTGTCGTCCCCAGGCGTTCTAGTTTCCATTGTAAGTAAAAGGGCCCTGAGTATTCTTTATAAGCTATGCCTATGCACGTGCTCCAGGCAGCTACCGACGAGCTGTACTTTTGCTAGTTTATTTTCAGAGTACTCGTGCGTATGTTTGTTGCAGCAATGCCTTCGTCCTGGTGTCCTCAGCTTGTGTGCTGGAGACGAAGCAGGTAATTGGAAGGAAATTGGAGATCTTGACCTCTACAACTGACTTCTGCACAAAAGACTGTGACTGCGCCCTCCACTAAAACTTTTTAAAAGAATAGTTCAGCTCTCTCTAAGGCCCAGCGTCTACTAGTCTGGTTTAATGATGTCCCTGAATATTGCATCTTGTTTTCCTTTGTCTATTTGTTTTGCTGCCTCCCGGCCAGTGTCTAGCCGTAACCGGGCTAATTAGTGTAATGTATCCTTCCCTAGGGAACCCTAGTCACCATCGCTGCTTCATTCGTCAAAGGTTCTATTGCCCAAGCCACATCTCATTACTAGCCTCTAGCGAGTGTAGTACCCGACGGCTGAGATGCTAGAGACTGCGCAAGGGCGAGCGCGGGAGCTGATCGTTACCGTTTCTAGAAAATTAGTGTCGAAGCCTTACTGATTCTTCACGTCAGGCTCCCTCTTTCTGAATAACTACACTTCAGTTCAGATCAATAGGTAATGCCACACGAGTTCGTGTTAATTCCCTTTGTTTGTTTGATAAGAGTAAACAGCAGAGCGGAGTCTTGCACCTCCCACATTTTACGATAGAGGTTCCACTACCGAACTTAATCAATTTCAACCTTTTTCAGTAATGTGTGTGGCAGTTGGCTTTGACAACGATTAAGCTTTCCTATCCCTTCCGTACTCTGGCCATGAAAAATCGATTTGCAACAGGACCCATTTTTCTTTAGCAGGAGGTTCACCATCAACTACCTTCGCAAATAATTTCAACCGACTGCTGTTTCTAACATAACATTTACGCTGAAACATTTTTAAAGCTTCCCAAGATCCGTCACCACAAAGTTGATACAGCCAAGAACCTTTTTCCCAAAACAGTCGTATTAAAATAATTAAATGATCTTAAAATAGGTTCATTTTTCAAAACTCGTATTCGCCTAACGAGCATTAAGGGGCCGCATTATGCCTCGTGCTGTAATACAGCTGGCCGATTGAGATCGGAATGCATGAAGACGCCCTTAGACCAGCTAGGCCACACATATAACGATGAGTTTTGTACCAAAGTAAACCTTTAAGCAAGGGGGTGTGCTAAGTGGTCATGGAGGCTTCAATGGAATTTAAGGACCAGAGCTTCTGGAATTTTGACCTGTCACAGCCATCCTACCGTTTCATCGGTTGACTGACACGTTTTATGCATCTTCAAATTTTATCTTTTGTGGATTCGCATTCAGCTCTTTTGTACCAGGTTAGGGAGTATAAAATATTCAGCACTAGCAAACCAACCAAACGCACTATATTCTCATCAACCAAATGCACTGTGTTCTCATATGTTCGACATTGTCAGGATAATCGGGGGTTCTAAGGGCCGTAATATTAGGAAAGATGCGTAGGTCACAAGTGTAATAAATATTTCCTAAGGATTCTTTCGAGCATACTCTCAAGTATGGAGAAGCTGATGTAATTATAGGTAAACTATCCGCTGTATAATCAAACGGTATATCTTGATGATAGAATTATCCTTAGATGAGTTGGATCGCCGCGCTAAGATCTAGCACCAAAGGGGAAAATGAGCAATTACATAATAAGTACTGTGGAGAGCGACATCTAGCTAGAACTACGCCAGTGGTACCTCCCGTCAATAAGAATACAGAGCATAAAACATCTGAAGTATCAAGAAGTATTGCATTAACTGAATAGCCCGTAATATCAATTCACCAGCTGAAAGTTTTGGGACCAGTTAGAACAGTAAGCATCACACCTAACAGAGGAAAATTCTCTGGTATCTATCTTAACACCCATTGTCACCACGTGATGTGTCCATGCTAAAGACCCGGAATACGGTGATACAACCAATCGTTCAGATCGCATCATGACCTCCCAAATTGGTTTACCTGCTGAAGTAGAGAATGTCTGCGAAATAACAGTAATAGCAGGCAATATATTATACATACTTCGGAATGTCCCCGAAACCACCATAAATTTTGGTGTGAACTACTGGATAATCATTGAATGCAGCTTGGAGGAATTCAACTTCTACAAGTAAGCGTAATACTAGCATTACTAATCCGCCAGTAAGAATTTAAAGAGTAACAAATAACACAGTGGCTTTATTTGAAGAGACCCATGCATGGGGACACCATGATTTTGAAGCATTAGAAGCACCTCATAGAGCGATTGAATCCAGGAAATTTACAAAATATAAGACATATTAAATTGGCTAAAAGCTAAATCAAATACTATTGAACCAACTGCCGCTGTTGAAGTTGGGGCCAATGACGTTTGAGATGTATGTACTGGAGGCTATATGTCTAACTAATGCATAACCCGGATCTAGAAATCAGTGTTGCACTTACTACAGCCCAAGCAATTGGCACAAGTGGAAGTAAAATACACACTGCTTTGGGAAAAGCTGCTTCTGAAACATCTAAATAAATTGGAAAGAACTCGTATTCATGTCCAGCCTACAGACCTCGCGTAGCCACCAATTAAGTCAAAATAGCTCCACGCAATTGATGTCAGCCTGCAAAAGCCTTGATTTCCTAGCGCTACAGCATGTAATCGAAAAAAACTCAGTTACAGTTTAATTCGTGCTTACAGTAATGTGCCTGCAAGTGATAATTTAAAAGGCAAATTCGAATTGGAAAACGCCTAATTCAATAGTTCGTAGGGGGTAAAATACTGGATTCGATGTAAATAAGCTGAATTGTAGAGGATTAGTGTTTTAATTCCGAGTAAAGTATATAAACTTGCAAAGTTTCTAGTAGTTAAGCAGATTCCGAAAGAAGTAAATGCTTTTTAGGTAGATGCGCTCCAACAACAAAAGCAACAACGAGTGTAAATAAATAATGCTCCAATAAATTAAAAATTTCAAAGACAACTGTTGACCTAGGAGCAGTACAGTAGTACGTAAGCGAACTCCCCATGACAGCAACGATAGTGAACAAATGCAACCAGCATATACTAATAGACCTCTCCGGGAGAGCTTTTAAATAGCGTTGCTAGGATGTACCACTGTGGTAGAGTTTGCCACAGGAATATGCTTACCTGGCTTCATTGCTTCTGGCAAACAAAAGCATAATCGCGCTCATATAAAGTGAAGCTAGGCAATTAAATTGATTTATCTGTGACCCTCAGATGTGAGAAAAGAAAGGAATTTCAAAGCAACGCTTGTACCTATTCTGACCAGTAGATCCGATGGGATGCATGTAGAAAGCATGTACCACAGCAAGTGCTAGACCTACAGATGGTAAAACAAAATGCATTACAAAAGCTTATTGTGAATGTAGGACAGGCTAAATACGGCCTTCTAGAAGAACTGTTACAAGCATGAAATACATCACAATGAATTGCAAGTTACAGGAGCAGCCCCAAAGATAGTTGACCCCATGGCCTTTCATGGCCCAGGAGACGGGTAGCAGTTGTTTTACTTCTCAAGGCTTAGTTATATGTATCCGTTGAATACTAGAGCTCTAAAAATAAGTATACATAAGAATAGACAAGCTGCTCCAGGAATATCCAGCAATCTAAATCCCAACGGAAAGAAAATCGTTGTAAACCAACGAAACCATATGCTAGTAATGAACCTGCTAGGAGTTGAACAGCAAACGAAATTCCCACTCAAAAACCATTGCTCAAGAAAAAGTTTTATGTTGTTTGGACATGGGCAGGATTGTAGATTAGACATCACCTTACATTTTTTTTTGCTAGTTGCAGGATAGATTTAGCTCCGTACGAAGCGACTCGACTCTATCAGCGCGTAAGCTATAGAGAATATGCACCTTGCTGTGGGTGTTAGAAGCTGGCTGGACGTTTGGAAGGAGGAAGCATGGGAAAGGAGGGACCTTTCTTAAAAACGCTCAATAACTTCTTATTAGTTTTATATAGTTTAAGAACTCAGTGTCCTTTTACAGAGACTTGAGATGCGGCGTTGCACAGAGCATGGAGAGTGGGGCTCTTTGGAAGCAGCCCTGACTAACCGGCAATAAAGATTTGCACATGATGCACAGAGCGTCGGCTACCAATAGGAGGATCGTCTTCTAAGCCTTTATATCCGTAGCTCATCAGTTTATGTTGAGACCAGCTCAGAAGCAAGATGTGGGAGAATTACGGAAGCTGAAACAGGGGAATCTATCAATAGAGCGTGTACCAAAAACCTATGAATCTGTGACTTACAAAAGCCAAAACGGACAGAAGCTGCTATTTGTCTAGATGGTCATCTCGTGTCTAACCAGAGAGTCACGGCAGGTCGTTGCACGATGGCCAGCGACTCAGCAATTTAACAACTGGATGGCGACGTTCCCGCAAAACTGGGCCTTTTGAGGTTTCAGCTGCATAGAAGCGCGGCCTCTGCCCTTCGGCTGAAAAAGACACGCCAAATCGTTGTCGGGGGGCTCTAAAAATAAAGTAAGTTCCAGCCGGCCCTAGGCTACATTTTTAGGAGGGCCTGGAAAAAAGCTGGAAAAAACCCATGGTCCTAAGCAGCCCCAAGGACGCCCTGAACAAAGCACCTGCTTCTTCTATGTGAACCCTGGAAAACTAGGCCGTACAATCTGGAATTTAGACGGCAAAGCTGATCCGCGCGAAGCCAGGTCGCTTGGCGGGCATAGGAGGCACATTAGGAAAGGAAGGCAGCCACGCAGGCTGCAGCGCAGCGGACTACAGCAGATAAAGCAGCAGTTGGAGACCCACCACAGGTCGCTTCTGCGCTCTTACAAGTTTGCAGAAATGTAAGAGAACTGCTAGGGTCACTTCTCACTGGGTGTTCAGTGTATCTGTTTTTCCATAGAAACTCAGTTTTGCTGACGGGCGGCATAATGCAGGAATCGGAGGAGGAACCGCGGTCAAATGCTACTTAAAATCGGAGTGGTGCCATATAATAATCATTTTGACGTCTACGTTGGACGCGTACACGATGGCGCTTTCCTAGGTATGCCATAGGTGACCCAATGGTAGACGCTCATGTAGCCACAGCTGCGCGCTATCGAGGTTAGTATGCCAAGAAGCGCTAGGAAGAAGGGCCTTTTTGCTTCCTCAACCACGCTCGTATCGCCTTTGGGG